CCAAAAAAAACACGCCACGAGTCAAACACCAGAGTCACCCCTGCCCCGATCCGTAACATGGCAACTTGTTACCCTGGAATTACAAACTTGTATCTGCCCAGTATCTAGTTTTAAGAAATTTAAAGTGAAAAAATTTTGAATTTCACAACATAGCAGGCTTTTTTGAATGAAACTCATTGAGTATATTGATAACGACCCCGAACACTCTGACGTTTTTGATAGAGCAGATAGAACATAATTTGGTTTCTAACCTCATGGTCTTAGTAATTAAAAACTACCAAACATATCAGAGAGAACTTTGTAATTCTAAGGTAGCGAACTATCATCGTATCCCAAATGTACGTGTTTGCAACACACACGTACATACGGGGTTCTTTTTCCACTTTGTCGCGTGCTTTTGAGCTCTGCTGTGATCTGCTGCTGTGTTCTATGTACATGTTCGTCACCTCTGGGCCGGCCAGAATGTTGATGATTACTGGAGAGAGATCTGTCAGGCCGGAACAAACAAACGTCACCTGTGCCCTCCTTCAGACTTCAGACACGACAGTTGTCCCGTTTATGTGTGTGTGTGTGTGTGTGTGTGTGTGTGTGTGTGTGTGTGTGTGTGTTTGAAAGTTGGCCGCGAATTGTGACTGTCATCAAGAACTCATCAATAAACAGTACCATTTTGGAAAGTGGACAGAGATCTTCACTCTTGGTGGCTTAAATTAATAGTCACGACATGCTTAGATTAGCAAATTGTTTTTGCCGTACTTTTACTTGGTGTCTCGGTTATAGATCTAACTGAGGATTTTTTCGTATCTTTTCTTGTCTCTGTCTTCTGTATTGGGCACCCGTCTCAATGAAAACCATCGCGTAATGGGAAAATACGTCCAATGCTAGACTTGGGCAAGCATCTTGCGTGTTGGCTCAGTGAACGAATGGGAGGGTTTTTCCCTAGGCTATCTTAGATCTGATACAGTCTGTGTGTCTTGTCCCGTGCCAGAATACGAGAGTAGCTCCGCCTATTTCCTCTTTGTATGTTCCTCTTTTGTTGCGGTGCTCTCTAGCCTATTGTCCGTCCGAGAGAAGTGGTCAGTGTACGTTTTTGAGGGAGGGGGG